TTTCCAACCGGGGAGGAGAGAGAATGACGGACCCGCGGATAAAAGGCCCCTTTGTGCAGCTCCGCTGTTGTCTCTGAGGCAGTCTCACCCGCGGAGATGCAGCCCGTGCCCTGTTCGGGCAGACTTTGCGGCGTCCCTTTCACCGACTTTAAGGCATCCCCTTATTATTCTAGCTTCTCTTGCCCCACTACTTATTTATTCATAAATTATATTTTTGCCAGGGAAAATACTTTGATGCCCTTCTGATGGCGCAGGTACAGGAGAGTGAGCTGAAAAAAAAGAAGAAGAAAAAACCCCCAAACCCTTAAGCAATATTTATGGACTTTTGAAAGTTGAGATTCTTGGAAAAAGCACTGCATTTCTTTTCACATACTTTCCAGGCTGAAATCTTTTGCTAATTTATCCCATAGTTTGCCTGTATAATAATTATGCAGCTCTTATATGTTTTAGCAAGCGAAACAGAAATGTATATTTTGGTGAGTAAACTAGGGAAGCGACTTGAATTTTCACATTTCTTCCTGCACCTTCGCTTCCCATAGGACCAGGAGCAAGTAGCAAAATGCTGGTTGCCTTTCCAACCCTTGGACTGACCTTCTGTTAAGCTGCTTTGCAGTCGCTCCTGCTGTCCCATCTGATGAAGTTTGGCCTGGGTTTTGTTTAGGCACAGGAATACAGATGCACCTTCCCATCAGTCTTAAAGAAAAGGTGGGAGATGATGGGGATCAGTGACCTTTCCCTCTGGTGACTCTGGAGCTGAGACCTTTTCCTTTCCACCATCCTTGACTGCAGTTTCTGCACAAAACTATCTGCCTTTATAGTTCGCTCATAGGACGATCCGCTTTATTCTATTTGATATACTTAATTCAATCCTGCCTGCTCAGAGAACTACCTGGAATAACTCTTCCAGGCTGCGAATGTGGCTGTTCTGGAGGAGTTTGCCTTGGTCGTCAGTCACTCCAGAAGGTGCAGATCCGCTCTCATTGCTAAAGCTGACTTGCCATGTCCGCCTTAGCGAATTTTAAGCTCTGCGTGCATTTCTGCTTTTAATAAGCTGCTTTTAATAAGCTCCATTTTAATGCTAGCAGAATTAATCGAAACTTGCACTCGGAGCAGTCTGTTCTCAGCCAGAATATTGTTTTCAAACTGAGGCAACACCCTGTTTACATAGATAAGCAAATTCACAGTCCACAGAGCTTCTTCCAGTCGGAGCAGCCGTTGAACGCTTAGCAGTAAGGCACTGCGCAGCACATGTTTCCCAGACACAGCAAACAGTTCTTCTTCTGAAGGGTAACCAGCCTTTTTTCTTATTTCTTTCTCTGAAGAGTTGAAAGCTGGAACATCTGCCTCTTGGCCAGCCATTCTTTCCCACAAACGCCGATGCTCAGGTTCAGAAAAGTTTGTGGAGGTTAGTGTGCGCCTCTTGGCCTTGACACAAGCTTCCCTCCGGCACCGCGTTTGATGCCCTTGTGCCTGCGTGTCCCAGGCCTGGGAGCCACGGCCTCGACTAACAGCCTTAGCAGCTGCAGGGTCTGTCCCCGGGGTTGTTCGTGCGACACGGGTGTGAACTGGATCATGGCGGAACGCGGAAGAGTTTCAGCAATTGACAGACGGTGGAGGGCACATCCGCGTCGCGTCCCTGCTGAGGTCGTGCTTTTTGTATATTCGCACACATATATATTATATCTGTGCATTTGTGCTTGTTAAGGTAGAGTTTTTCTTTTTCTGTCTTGGTTTGCACTTGCCTTCAGACCACATCCTGCTTGTTTTGGATAGATTAGAAGAAAGGAGGCTAAAGGCTGCAGGGATCTCTGTAATGCGGTGTTTTTCCTTCTTTTGTAGAGGAGTGCGTAAAAGATGCCTGCTTTGCAGAAAGCCGGTTGGCATTTTCGAGCGTAGGAAATGGAAACTGAGGTGATTTCCAATGTACTGCAAGTTGTAGAAACACTTCAAAGTTAGGATAAGGGAGAGGTTGGTATTTGCAGACCAAACTGTGAGAAGGTGTGCCTGGCCCGCTCTTGGTTCATTTTAGTGGTGCTTCCATATCTGCTAAAAGGAAAACACATTTCTTCTCCAGTTTCCCGTTTCTCTTCCCCCCAAATCAAATTGTGCAAAAGGTAAAATCCCTAGCTGTAAGTCTATTTTAAATGCTATTTTCACTCTCCTCTAGCCAAAAGAACAGGTCAGCAATTTATTCTTACTTGCAAAGCAGAAATGGTAATAGCATCTGTTTTAAAGATCCAGGGGTAAGGGCCTTGCTCTGACTACTGTTGCCCGCTGGTATTTCTATTAGATGTAATGTGATCTGCAGGTGGCAAATAAGGCCAAACACTATGCAAGAAAAATAAATGGCTGCTCATTAAAAATGTATTTTAACTCATAATGTATTTTAAACCTGTCTCCTTCAGCCTACTTATGCTTGGACCCTCGGGTCCCCACCTATGAAAAGAGTTTCCTCGGGGAGTTACTAACTGTCTCCTAAATATTGCCCACCTTTTCTTTGCCGTCATGTGCCCTCAATCTGAAGTGCTTTTAAAGTGCTTGTGTTACAAGACTGTTTCACCAGACAGCAGAGCTGGCCCCTTCATTTTCTTACGTAGTCTGTCTCCTCAGCTACGCTTAACTTGTGCTGCGTCCATAGCAAGAGCTCCTGAGAATCGTGGCGTGCTTGGGTTTATTTGCTGTCTTGTAGGTCCCAGCCCTGCAAAGTCCTTGGATGCTGTTAAAATGCTGTTGAAATTAATATTTGGATGTGCTCACAGTTGGTGATGAATAAGTGCTTAAGGAGGAACCTGTACTAAAAGGTTTTGCTTTCGGAGTGGCAATGCTCACGTAAAGATATAGGGAAGGCAAGGACTTAGGAAGAGCTAAGAGCTTTCTTTAGATAACTGCTACACAGCTTCAGATCAAGCTCCTCCTGAATACCTGCTGCTTTCTTCTCTGCCCACCGATATTAATTGTTGCTATAAGCAACAATAACTCTCTCTATAACCTTTGCATCACAGAAGAAAGGCCCAGGTCCTAGGGGCTCATTTGTTACTCTTAGTTGTAGTATTAACAACAGAGGGAAAAACGCGTTCATTTTTCCAGCTTTAGTGCTGATGCTGTTTGTGGTCTGCCTGCTGTGTTCCACTATGTGTTGTGGTTCAGATGAGCTGCTCAAACCCATTCCAACCCCCGCGAGCTGGATCAGTGCTCACAGGTGTCAGTGGGAGCGGGTCTTCTGCCTTTGCTTAGCTTTAAGACTGGCTCATAGCGCCTATGAAAATACACCCAAAGTCCTGGGCGAGCGCTGGCATTTTCATGTCTGTGCTGAAGGCTTGCTGGGAAGCAAACCTAGTTTGAGGAACATGTTTAAATGCATGAAATAATGCACATGGGAATGTCTGGGGCTTTGAAGGCTTGTCCTTACAACTTGAAAGTTCCCCAATGGGAGCAGACCCAGCTTGGATGGTGCCCAGACTCCGTGTGGAAATTCTGCACGGAATATTTTGGTTCCATTAAGTTTAGGGTGCAAAACCTTTGTGGCTCTGTGAGACAGTATTTTAACTGGATGATTTTAGTAGCTTTTGAAGCCTGGTTGGAAGAGCATGCAGTTGGGTGCCTCCAGGAAACCCAGTACAAAAATCAGTCTAGTCTGGCTCTTGCTCACCCTAAGGCTAGTGAAGTATAAGCAAACTGTAAGCAGGAGGTATGTGTAATTTGTGCCTCTTTTAAAATCCTTTTATACTCCCTGAACAGTATATAATGGCATTAATACATGTGAGAATCAAGTCTGCAGTGTTTACTGAAATGATGGCAAAGGAAAGCTGTGTTTGTATTTTTGTATTTTTCCTGCCTGAACAGCTTTTCAAATACCTCTTTTTCTTTCATGAATCTGGATCACGACATAAAGATCACACACTTTTGTTTCGCTGGTTTGAGTGCGCTGGATGAAACAGCCGCTCGGGTGCCATTCAAATCACACGTGTGTGCAGGAGGCTGCAGTGGGGCCGGGTGATTTATAGGGTGGGTGCCACCAGCAGGAAGGGCAGCCCAATCCATACCATATTTGTCAGCGTATGGATTTACAGGAAGCAGAGCGTACCGGGGTGTGCAGCTCCCCACTGATTTGTTGTTTAGGTTCGGTACAGAAAAATTCCCTCAGGATTATCCAAGGTAGCAGAACATCTAGAACTTGAAGTCAATACAGGCAGTGAATTGAAAAGGCAACAGCGCAGTACGCTCAGCACGTCACGTTCCTGAAGCACTCAGAAGCTGATTTTCTTGCCATGTTTATCCCTATCTAACTTTCCTATTTCCCGTGTTTCTGAGTGTCAGCTAATTTCAAGTCTGTGGAAATTAATGCAAGTTTTGAATTAATTTTCATGTTCTCTGGGTGGAAGAAATGCACTTACTGGAATCCCCTGGTAGAAGTGCACACTGAAAGGCAAACATGGATGGCAGCAGAACTGGAAAAGTATACCGTGTAGCTGAAAACTCCAAGTGCTGGGATTCGGGATGAATCGATTATTCACAGTGGTTTTTCCTTTTTTTTTTTTATTTTTATTTTTTTATTTTTATTTCAAACACAACCGGTTGCATTGGCCCTTCCACGTATACGCACTCCTGAAGAAGTGTGTATGGGGCGTATGCACGCGCCCCATGTTGTACATAGGACATCTGGGGCTCCTCAGAGATTTTTCTGCTTCTGTCTATAGGAAGCAAAAGATGCAAAAAGTTTTGTGATAATCAAAGCATTGGCACCTCCCAATATTGATCTGCTGTAAAAGCACATTACTGAAGATTGAAATGAGAAGGATAAATAGAAATGGCTGGGATTGTCTTCTGTCCCAAACGGTGCTTTTCAGATGTTAAGCTCTATTGGCCTCTCAGCCTCTCCACCAAGGCATTTGCTATAAATTTGTCATGCCTCTTCCACAGGGCTTTAAACCTCCCTCAGTGCCACCTGCGAGGAGTCAAAGCTTTTATTCTTGGAAGCTTCTAGAAGCTGGAAGGGCGGGATGCGAGTCGTCCCCCTTCCCTGGTAGGATCCATGTGGAGTGTTCCCGGAGCCGCCTCCAGCACTGAGGTGTGCAGAGTGTCTGAGCTGGCTCCAAGTGCGGTGGAGGCACTTTCAAGATATACCTAAATGTTAGAAGAAGGAAATGGGCATTCCTCGTTCATTGGAGTGAGTCACGGTCCTTTAATACAGCCAAGGCTTTCTGAATCAATCACTTTTTGTGCCTATGCATATAGCTAAGCAGAGTGTCCACATAGGCATTTTTTGACCGGCAAATGTGGATTTCATCTCTGTCCACCGCGAGAGATGAATTACATGTGGCGCTCTCAAAAGCAGTGATATCAGCAACTGTTTTGGGTAGGAATGTGCGGGTCCATAAGGGCCAGATTTTTGGCCGAATGGATGGGCACATAATCATTGGTTTTGGCACTGGAGTCAGATGTTCCATCTGTAGAAGGTACAAGAACTCCTCAACCCTTCGTCAAGCTCCAAAGGTGACTTGTATGTGCCTCTCATTTCCCATCAGCCAGCTAGGAAGATGAACTTGATGTGGCTGATTTCCTCCCAGTTGTAGTAATCATAAGTCAATTTACCCCAGTTGTAAATAAGTTCAGATTTTAGGCCCCTAAGCTATAGGTAAATGTGCCTTTTAAACACCATTTTAAATTTAAGATTTTCCACATGTGAGAGGTCCTTCAAAACTTACAGATGTAAAGCACAAAGTCCTTGCTTAATAGTCTGTTGAGTTAGAGGCAAAGGAGAAGTGGTAATGAAGAACCCTTTGGGAAACGGCTCTGGGGGTTTGATGTTGTTTTCATTTCTTTTTATGAGAAGAATTTATCCAAGTCTCTGAGGCAGAAAGATTTGACAAAATTAAAAAGCTCAGAGCATCTTACGAAGGTTTGAGTGGATTTATGGGTTAAGGAATGAATGCTTATAGGTGTTTAGAAATGAATCATGGGATGAAGAATGAAAAGAAACTATGTTGACAGGTGAGGAGGATCAAAGGGCTTTAGTTTTGAGAAGGAGGCCTCAAAAGTGTACCTTTAACATAGAACATTTTTATTTAGATAGTCTGGTTGGTTTCTTGCAGTTCATAAAGCAATTTTGATAATGTATTCTACGCCTGCCTTTAATTTAGTGTTGATTTACGGCTGATTATATGTGAGCGCTACTTAATCTGGAGATTAATTTCATAAGCGGAAGAGACTTGAAAGATACCCTTTGCATCTAATATTGTAAATAATAATGTAAGATTTGCCAGCTTTTTTAAAAAAATGATGGGCTCATACTCAGCAAATCAAGGTATTTGTTTAAAACCAACTAGTCTGAGGGATGATGAATCTCTTATTCGGGTGTATAACACATACCTCGACTGGTATCTAAGTGTGGCTGTGATGTACAGCGTTCTTGCTGTATGCCAGCAAGATTCATTTTCTTTCTGTTGTGTTGTAGCTGCCCTTACCTGGCCTCCCAGACTCATAAATTGTTTAAAAGAAGGTGTTCTGGACATAGGGACGACCAGCATTTCAAGATGGTGGGAAGTATTGCAAAAGTCTTCTGGCTCTTCGCAGCAACAATGCTGAGGGTACAGAATTGCAAAATGAGTAACACATGTTTTGATGGAATTAAACGCAAATTTGGAAAAGGAAACATGTCTGAGTACAACTGCAGCTTGCCAGATAAACCATTACACTCTAGAAATCTGCTGCTGTCAAAGTAAAAAATATCTTTTGAAAGAGTTCCATCTTGTATTGTTTTAATTTTCCCCATATTTACAAAAGGAATAGCACCTGATTTCAGCTGAGGAAAACCAAGCATGCACACAGATAGGAAAATATGTATATATATTTTTTATCTCGCCTGCCTAATAATCTGTATGTGAAGTTTTTTGCGTGTGGACTCCAGGGTACAAGAACCTTCCTAAGTCTACATTCATCCTACCAGTTCTGTGCTTTTTTGCATTGGAGAAGCATGTCAAGAAGAACTGCCTTCTTCCAACCTATTCTTTTGTTTGAATAGCAAAGCATGTCAAGGGTAAAGAAACAGAGAAAGAGTAGAAAGCAAGAGAGCAACACAGGTCCCACCAAGAGGTAGGGTAAAAAACAATCCCCTCACTGATTTTCTCCATGACTTGCATCTCAGCAGCGACATTAGAGCCCGTTTATTCTGTCCTTGCAAGTGTGGCAGAAAAGGTAGCCAGAACTGCTACCTAGGTGTGTAGCTGTTCTCCACGTGCCTTATTGCCACCTTGAATTCAGCACTGATAACGTGTAATTCAAAAACTAAACTGGTAAATTTACAGAGCCCTCAAGGGGAAATTGACTAGTAATTCTGTTGTTCTTGCCGTTCTCCTACTTGTACCCAGCCTGCTTAAGTCAGCTGTATTTCCATGTACATGTTTTGTTGGTTTTTGTTTGCTTGTCTTGAAATGATCAGACTTTTTCCTAGTACTTGTTAACAGTCAGGAATTAAAATGGCACATGGATTGTCTTGGGAGGGAGGGAAAATAGAGGGGTGCTTGGCCAATTTCCAGCCACTCATCTATCTGAAAAAACCTAAAAATCTGTTGTGAATATTAACTGAATAAGCTTTGCTTTTAGTGTAGAGATGAACCACCAAATGAAAAACATTCTCACACCGTCTGCTTTGGTCCATAGCTAGTGCATGGCCTGTAGCACTGGGGACTGGTCAGACAAAAATGTTCTTGGCTCAGTTGGCTTGGATTAATCCGTGTCTAATGGCATTTGACTGCATTAGTATTATCTGCATAGGCCTGGCAGATAGGACCCATGACCCATGGAGAATCCATATGCTCCTGAACGAGTGGCTGGAGGTGTGCAGGATACATAGGGGCCTTCCAAGAGGTATCTCTCTGATGGCATTTTGTTGAGGCACTTGAATCTTGTCTAGCGTGTATTAAAACCTGGACATCATAATTTAAACGTCTCAATTTCAAATAAAACCCTATCCTGGGTGGAGCTGGAAATGCTGATGTAATCTAAATATGTTTTAATATAGAAATTGATGCATACACATATGTTTCCATCCCTTGCTTGTCTTTTACTTTTGTATTTTCCAGTCCATAATCTTCATTCGTGACCGGAATTCTCGTCGCCAGGAGGTGTCCGCATACATAGACTACGCGCACAGACTGACAACGGATGATTTTGAAGCCTACTTCAGTGGGAAGAAAAGGCTTTTCCCACGGAGCACTGATCTGAGGTATTTACCTACACCTTTTTTTTTCATTTATTTGCATTTAGACAATATGTATATACAAAGAGCAGGAGCTTGAAATGTTTTTGACTGGAAAGGTGGCTTGTAAAACATTTTTTTCACTGGAAGGTAATTATCATGGATCAATTATGAAGAACGGCTCTAAGGAAAGGACCCTATCAGTTGGATTGAGTCATCCCCAGCAGTAGACTTTGCTTCAGAAATGTGTGAAGGGCAGAAGTCTTCTAGTGGCAAAAGATGGTGTTTTACTGATAGTAAATGACAAAGGCCATCAGTGTGCTTTTCACTGAAGAACACTATATTCCTGAAAATGGATCCTGTGCTTGTGTGCCAGAAGACTGAGGCAGGAGGGATGTTTGAGCACTTTTGCTTGTGAAGGCCAAGTTGGAGAGACAAAGCACAGCAGAGCTTCCAGACTCATGGGGGCCTGGGACAGCGTTTAGCACTGCCCCAGATCCTGCTGGTGACTGGGGAAGAAACGGTAAAAACTTCACAGAGAAGGGGAATTATTATGAAAATCTCTTGTTCCTACCTGATCAAAGTTAAGAAGGGTGGAAAAACTAGCTGCAGTGTCACACACAATTTCTACCTTCTGGTAAAAAGGTGTGAAGAATAAAGGAGTTGATCCATTTTCTTCATCTGCAGTGAGAATGGTTTTCTGTAACCTAAATAATCCCTCTGGAAGCAATGCAAATCCCTGCAAATATGGTTCAGTCAAATTTGGTGTGGGTTACAGAGAGAAAAAGCAGCATAGAGTGTAGGAGAGGGCAAGCTCGCTCTTGAAATTTTGTGCTTTTGTTCATGGCACAGCAGGTGTCAGTAATGAGGCAAAGCAGCACACTGGAGTCTTGCAGCATTACAGTGATGGGAAGCAAAATTCCCTATTTTACACTTTTAAATCATAAGGATGAACGGTTGGGTTTCATTTATGATTGAATTAAGAACAGTAATGAGCATAATACTGTGGTTGCTTTGCTATATATTTGGATTCTATTGGTGACTCCTAAGGCTCTTAAGTCATCAATGTCATATGCCGTGCAAAATATCACCACTGTATCCTGTAGCTGTGCAAAATCCTTTTTGTACTGGAAAAAATGCCACAGTGCCTGGTTCAATCGCTTTTTCTATGCCCTGTGTCAAGGCTAGGATGAGCTGCAAGCTCTTCATGGCCAGTTTAATGTGTTCAATTACGGCTGAGGCGGCAGGGCTCACGTCAGGGAACGTGGCCAAAGGGCCACTGCTCTGACACCAGCATGAGTGTCCTGGTAATATGGAATATGTCTGTTACAAAAAAACATTCAAGTCTTTTTCTGGAGGAAAGTTGACATGGGCAGGCGGAGGGCCTTGGCATGTTGTCTTCATTCTTGTGCTTTTCTTTGGAGAAGGTAGTAGGCAAGGCCAGATATCCGTGTGGTTATGCTGATGACCATGTAGCACAGGAAGAAGAGATGCAATGGGCAGAAGAAAAGGTAGATGATAATTGTGACTTGACCCCAAAAACCCTTAAATACAAAACTGAACTGAATTGTTGAACTTCAGCTTTATGGCACAGGGTATTTTCTATCACAAGAATGTAGTTTGTATCCGGTATTAAAAAAAAAAAAAATCCATTTGCACCTAGGTTTTAAAAGAAAAGATTGTTGGTAGAAATAAACAGTAATGAGTTAGAGTGTATTCCAGTGTGGATCTCTCTCAAATTTAAGTACGAAACGTGGCTTGTTTTCCAAATTACGACAGCAAACCGCGTCTAAATGCGCATTTATTATCTAAAGCAAAATGGTAAAAATCTCTTCTCAGGCAGTTCTGCCATTTCTACACATTCTTAATAATGCTTTTAAGCATTTTTTTAAAATTAAATGGCTTTTCATTTTATTATGTGACTGATTTTTCCTGCACTATTCCTTCAGTATAGTGCACCACTGATAGTTTCTTCTTAGTGTCTAATTTTTTAGATTTTAAGTCCAAGAGGAAGAATGACAAGGACTATCTAACATGATCTCCTGCATAACACACACCATAAAAATTTAGTAAACCCTGAATCTAGCACATGGGTGGACGTGAGTAAATTTTGTAGAATGGCTTCCAGTCGTGATTTAAAGATTCCCATTGGCAGAGAGCTTAGTGTCCCCTGAAAACCTTTTCACTGCATAGTTTAAAATTTTCTACGTTTGAATCTGTATTTTAACTTTCATTACTGGTTCTCTCTTTGTATGTTGGATTAAATAAAACTTCACTACTAGATAAATTGTGATTTCATTGGCTGTACTCAAAGCTGTCCTTAGCCGTTCTTCAGTTATCTAAACTGAATTTTCATGCAATTGATTCTACGTTTTATGATGATGTTTCATTTTGACAACCTTCTTCTGTCTTTGTTTTCTGCCTGTCTTCTTCAAAATGCAGAAAAAATGCTGCATGCGAGTAGCAATATTTTGACTGTATTTAGAATTGCATGACTTCATCTTTTAATATCTTGGCTAACTTGAAATCTGAGTCTTTTCATCACATTCTTCTTTTTGGATACTTCTGTGTTTAGGCAGGTAAAAAAAAGTCTTAAAATTGTTAGTATTGCGGGGGCGTAGTCTATATCTGAAGCTTAAAGAGCAGCTGCGAGCTTTGGTCAAGAACGGCTGTTTTTAGAATCTGTCATATCAATTTGGATTGTTCTGTATGTTGTCTTCTTTTTTAAGGAATTAGTCTCTTTGGGAAATGGCCTCACTCAGAACTTTATGAAGTCCTTGGTCGTATTTACTTTTAGTCATTTGGGAGACCGAAGTGCAAATTTTTGATTTTGTGGGAGGGTTAGTATCTCATGCAAAACTGTCAAAAATATTTTTAAACTATGGAAATCGATCCTTTGCTGCAGTGCATTTTTTCATTAGCTGTCAGTAGATACTACACTCAGGCTTAAGTACCCTCCGAATCTAATTCTTGTTCTCAATATGAAACAGAAATACTTAACTGTTAAGTTTATGTGATGTTCATACTTTAAATCCAGTGGGTAGTTTCAGAGGTTACTGTATTTGAGCTACGTGGTTCCTCAGAGTATTTTTGCCATTTTATTGCATTGGCCTATCAAGGGAGCATTATTTATATGATATAATCCTCATTTGGTTCCAGTTTATTAAATGAAAGGAATGTGTTAGGCAGTAAGTTAGTTCTTAAGAGGTCTGGAATCTGGACTGTAATTGAATCCATTCCCTCTCAGCTAATTTATGTAATCTGATGAGAAACAAGTGTAATACAATTTGTTCAAAGAAAATGGAGAATGTTCACTCTGTGGAACCATACCAAAAATTCTGCTGAATTAGGACAGCAAAAGCTTCATTTTGGGTTGACTCTTGATAAGCTCTGCTTTGACTATCTCTATTCCGTTTGTGATTGAGGATGAAACACATGTGTTCCAGTAGGATGTGCTGTATCAGTTCTACTTGTCTAGGTCAGTGCAGTACATACCATACTTAAGGTGCTACCTACTGTAGTGTTTTATCTTCACACTTAATTTGGGATAGCAAGGTTTTCATTTCTTTTTTGTAGACTGCAGCGTTCTTTCGAAAATGAGATCCGGCAAGCAGCTGCTTACTGCAGAGCATTAGTTCAGGGGAAAACTCTAGAACCTATGGTCTGAAGTCATCTCCTTATCTCATCAGCAGTGAAACTCGCTTGGTTTTGGCCCTGGCATTCATCAGGCCAAGCATGGGAGGTCCTGCATTCAGAGCTCTGTGGTGATAAACCTCGCATGCCGTAGAAGTGCATCATGACACACTGGTGCTTTCAGACGTGGCATGTTGGGGTTTGCTGTTGGCAAGAACCACCACATCAGATTGTGCCCTCTGCTTCATGTAGCTCGGCTGTGGTCCCTTCCAGCTCAAAGCGGGCGTAGGAGTTGGCAAGAGTTCGCTCCCTGGCCTTGGAATTCCCTCCCATTTTGTTGTCAGGTTTACACTAAGATACCATCTGTTAATCTGCAAAGGCCTGTAAGCCAAATCATGGCCAGCAAAACGCTTCGGAGCATGAGGAAACTGCTCCCTGCCTTGCTGTGCCCCTTGACCCCCTAGATTTGTCAGCAGCTTACCTGGGAGCGCTGCTCCCACTCCATGTACGCAGGCAAGAGCTAGCAGAGAGGGCCGGGGAGGCATTTTCATGTGCCCCTTGTGCCAGCTGCCGTGGGCAGTGACGCTGGGCCAGGCAGGAGACCTGCAGAGCTTCACCTTCCTCTGGGAGCAGGTGGGAGCAGCAGGACCACGCTCTTGCTGCGTCCCAGTTAGGAGCACTGAAGCAGTAATGACTCACACTCGGGAGCTTGGCAGGGCCCTGGGGTGAATTCCTTCAGATTTATTAGGTAAAATGTGCTGTTTTCAAAGGGTTTGATGAGGACAAAAATTAATTTTTATCCCTCATAAAATGTGTTTTTTTCATTTTGTTGTTTATCATCGTATTTAATGTTTACAGAACCATCTGGTTCTTTGATTCCAGCCACTCTGTCTTTGTTGAGTGCTACCCAGTGAGGCCCAGCCGGCTGGCGCGCAACTTGGAGAGAATCAGCTGCCAAGGGGCTGAAATTAGGGTGCCCTCTTCATGGGAAGCCAGTGAGGGCTGGCGTCAGTTTAGGCCTGTCACCTGGAGTACGGGGACAGTTTGGAATTGCCACCTAGGTGTACCAGGCAGAGAGCAAATGACAGATAGATGTTGAAGTAGAAATTAGAGTGCCTAAGGTCTGGGTGAGTGAGAAGAAAATTCCATTGCTGCCAACTCAGTAAATGTTTAATTTGGAGATGTATACTTCCCCATCTGGCTTATATTTAAATACTGTAAATATTACTTCTTTCACTTTTAATTTCTTTCTTTTTTTTCAATTCAAACTTTAATTTATTAAGAAAGATAAAATCTCGTAAGGGGAGAAATTGGCTTTTTATAGCTTTGAACAAACACTGCAAATTGTTAAAATTTTGGGAGAAAGATGTAGGGGAAAGGCTATCTTGCCCTTT